CTTGAGTTATTCTATAATAAAAAAGTACTGTATTAGGAGTCTGTTAGTGAAGAGTGTTGGGTCATTTGTCTGCCTTGATCCTACATCCCTGTAAGTAAATTACCCTATAACAATAAATTCATTATATTCTATGAAGTTGCTTACATCATTCTTCAGTCTTAAGACACCTCATTATGGTGGCCATACACCTGCGCTCCATAATCACACAACTTTTCACACAACTGTAGCACAGAGATTCAGTTGAATTTCCTGCTACTAAGTAACAAGCATTGTCTTTCCTCCAATTTCTAACAAGTTTCCTCATTTCCTTCTGAATTCTAACCAGAAGTGCCATTAAATGTTAATATTTCTACAAACATCCTCTTCATTATATACATAAGCTTTTTCTATCTTGCTCTTCTCTCCCTCCTAAAATTGCACTGGGGGTGCCTTTAACATTCATTAACTGAACAGTCTTTTAAAAGCAATCTAGGCCTTTACTATCATGTGGCTTAAAATCCAGCCTCTGCCCATTACTGATACTCAAAGGCACTTCCACACTTTTAGGTATTTGTTTCAGCAAACCCCATTTCCTAGTACCAAAATATGTATTAGTTTTCTGTGGCTGCCATAAGAAATCACCAGAAGTTTAGTAGTTAAATCTACAAACTGTGGCATATTTCTAAAAATATTGTGGAGTATATTTTTAAAAGTGGTATATATTTATAAAATTAGATGTACTTAGTTTTAAATGTAAAAGCTAAAACTTAAAAAATAAATCATATAGAAAATCTCCTGTCTGCCACTTCTTTGAATTTTTTACAGGGACACTTAAGGTAGAATAATTTTTTTAATCCTCACCTGAGGACATGCTTATTTTCTGAGAGGGAAATGGAGGGAGAGAGGTAGAGAAACATTGATGTGACACAGAAATCTTGATCAGTTGCCTCTCACATGTGCCCCAACTGGGATTGAACCTACAACATAGGCACATGCCCTAACTGGGAATTGAACCTGCAACCTCTTGGTCTAGCAGGAGTATCCAACCTGCAGCCCACGGGCTACATGTAGCCCATGATAGCTATGAATGTGGCCCAACACAAAATCAGAAATTTACTTAAAACATTATGAGATTTTTAAAAAGATTTTATTTATTTTTTTTTTAGAGACAGGGAAGGGAAGGAGAAAGAGAGGGAGAGAAACATCAACATGTGTTTGCCTCTCACGTGCTCCAAACTGGGGACATGGCCTGTAACCCAGGCATGTGCCCTGACTTGGAATTGAACTGGTGATCCTCCGGTTTGCAGGCCTGTGCTCATCCACTGAGCTTCACCAGCCAAGGCCATTATGAGATATTTTTGTGATTACATGTTGCAAGGTATTTAATATGTAGCTGAAGACAACTCTTCCTCCAGTGTGGCCCTGAGATGCCCAAAGTTTGGATATTCCTGGTCTACAGGATCACACTCCAACCTAGTCATACTGACCAGGGGTATAGGATAACTTTTTATAGCTGAACTTTTGCAGAATGTCTTTTCATTGTTCCTTTCCCCCTCAGCCAACTAATATATATTGTGGCAGGCTCCGGCCAGCAGATCTGAATGTTGTGGCTGAAGATGAAAACATGCACAGACTACGGCAGCCCTGTGGAGAAAAAGGGACGGTATGGTACTCTCTTAAGATGAGAGTCCTGCAGCTACTTCTCTCAAGGGGAGAGTGCCTTGGCCACTCTCTTGAGGGGAGAGTGCACTGACCCTTGCCTAGACAAGCTTTTATTGTTTTTCTCGGGTCTTACACCAAAGAAGGATTTATTATCTATTACATAGAATATTGTTGTCTACATTTTAGGTACAATTAAAGAAATGAAAATAACAAATGCAGAAGGGAAAGGTGGCAAGCTGATTAGCTCTGTCCTTGGGAAAATTCACACAGGCTTTGGAAATTACCTTGAAGATAGGCAATAAACATCTACTGTTTCAGACCACAGTGAGGAAGTTTTAGCAAGAGCAAGCCATAACAGTATGAATGCATTTTCTAGGCCTGATTCCCATGGGAAAAACCAGTTCGAGGGTCTGGCTCCTACCCACCACTTCCCTCCTGTAGGTTTTCCATACAGGGCTGAGTCACATTTGCCAGACTGAAACAAAATTGTTCCCCACAATATGTGGTTTCAGAGATTTGTATGAGAGGGCTTAATATAGGATTTGGGAAATAATATAAATACAAAATACAAAAACAGGTTTATGCTATTTTCTGTCTGCCCAGGATGTGTGACTGTCTTCAACTTAAAAATTTTTGTTAGAATGAATTCAGTAGCAATATGTCTCTTCTAATAACTCCCCATTTCCTCCCTTCCTGTTAGTGATATATACTCCTGCATTTTGGTGGCTATAGCAACTATGATAGGAGAGTAGAAGTTAAAATCTTGGGAAACAGCTAAGAGCATAAATATGGAAAGACACCCAAGGATTGGTATAGAAATACTTTTAAGATTTGTGTACAAACCTTCCTATAATAAATAGCTCTCTTAGGTAAGAAAACAGCCTAGTCATCTGTGAGTCTAAAATTGTACTTTTAAGTTTAGTCATTTAAACACTACCCATTAGTACACCATACATACTAGTACCTCATACACAACACTTACAAAACATGAATATAATGTCTTATGTATAAAAATAAAGTACCATATGCATACATTGTTTACTACAAACAAAACTTGGCTATTTTCTTGATATAATCAGTAAATCAGGAAGAAAAATAGTGTATGTAGAGATGCCAGAAAACTTACACTTCTGGGACAACCATGGAAGTACCAAAGAGAGCAAAAACAAGAAATAGAATGTTCAAGAGAATATGATACACACATTCCCAATATTTTTCATGGGTTGGGGCTGGAACAAACAGATGCAGTTAGACCATGCCTCCTACTCACTACATAACCAGGTAAAAGAGGAAGGCTTGCATCCATAGTCATGAGCACAATTCTTTTGTTAGTAGTCACCACTGTTAGCATATAATAGTATTTACTAATTTAAAAATAGGTTTATTCAAATGAAATAATTCCTAGGTTTTCATATTTTAGAATATAGAACCTGTAGTCTTACTTACTTGTTGTAGTTATTTTACTTTATGTTCATCCTGCCTGCACTCTTTAAAAAAGTGTCTAAGCATAGTGATTATTAGTTAAAGCTAAATATCACAAAGTTGTCTCTAGTTAGAAAAGGCATTATATCTCTTATGTCCAAGTCTAAATTTTTATCATGTCTGATTTTTCTCATCACTCATTGTTCTTTTGTGCTCTGAAATTATGTACAAGACCAGGACTGACAACATGTTTCCATTTACTACCCACTGGCAATTGCTGCCCCTTTCTATAGTCCAGAGGGCTTATTAAACATTATTTTGCCAGGTACTTGAGCTTTCAATGATTTTTCTGCTTATTTAGAGCAAATTTACAGTTCTACTTTTTTTGGGGGGGAACCCTTTGCTTATTTTAATTTCTACAAAATTTTATTTTATTTTATTTGTTAAAGGTTTTATTTATTCATTTTTAGAGAGGGGGGAAGGGAGGGAGAAAGAGAGGGAGAGAAACATCAATGTGGTTGCCTCTCATGTGGCCCCCACTGGGGACCTGACACACAACCCAGACATGTGCCCTGATTGGGAATTGAACCGGCAACCCTTAGCCTGCACTCAGTCCACTGAGCTCCACAACCCAGGGCTCTAATTTCTACAAAATTTTATTACAATAATTGTATGTAGTAAATGTGGGTCAAAACCAACCTCCTCGAGAAGGGCATTTAGTAACACTATCCAAGTTGCTGCTGAGCTTACTATTTTCACAGAGAAGATGATACAGATTCTATTGGCTTTGCAGATCTCCAGTTCTCAAAGATCAAAACTTCTTCAGTGAGTTTTCATTTGGAAATTCTAGAGAACTACAGACTCTGTAAGATAAACCAAGCTATAAAAGGCTTATTTTACATATGCTTATTATATTATATATAGGCTTACTTATACATATTTTTCATAACTGTGTCTACTGTGACTACTATGCTTAAAAATTTTACTCACCTGTGTCCCTTCTTAACCTCCCTTTCTCTAATATGAACTCTTTGATGTTGAATAAGATGTAAACTAGGACTAACATTCCCCTATAATCATGACAATTACACGATTCCCTCATTGTGTAAGGTTTCAGCCGCAGCTAAAGCTCTTTTTATACTACTGACATTTATATATTCACAACTAACATTGTCACAATAATGACATCACAAGGATTTGTTTTTAATAGGAATTCTCCAATTGAATGATTGTTAAAGACCTTTCTCCATGTTGATTGAAATCAGAGTTTTTACTTTTCAAAGTGAATCATGTCATGTTGGAAAATCTGTGCGATGTTTAGCAGTATCTATCATAAGCTGAAAAAGCTTAAATATACACTTGGGTGGAGTAATTTCAGTCTTGGCATAAAATCAACAGAAATACACATACACACAAAATATACAAGGTTATTTATAGGAGTATCTTCGTTACAGCACAAAATTATAAAAAATACAAATAACTATCAAAATGATAAACAGTGGTATAGTCTTAAAATGAAATAGTATACAAAGTGAATATAAAAGCACTGCTGCCCATACAATAATGTATGAATTTCAGAATGTTGAGTTAAAAAAGACACAAAGAATTCATGATGTAGGATAAAAATATATAAAGGCATGAAAAAACTACTTCATGATGTTGTAAGGCAGGAAAGTGATAAACTTAGAGGAAGTAACAACTACTTTTCATTTCACTGGGTGCAATGAGAAATATAGTTCATATTTCATTTCTCCTATGGAAACGGTTTATAACCATTATTTTATTTTGCCTCTCCATGTATTACATAAGTCTTTAAAAAATAAACTGAATCAGTAGAACTTAAAAAATTAAAAAATTTGATTCACTGCTGATAGAGTTCAGTAAAAATGATCATATCCATTTTAAACAGTAAAACAGTTATGCTGTATGGTACTTTAAATTATTAACTATTATTACATTTGTGATTAAAATTATCTTATTAGCATGCTTTTAAAAAAAACTAAAGTTTTATAATAACTTTGGAAGGAAGGCTTCACAAAGAAATCACACCATTTATTGAATTTCTATGTTTTCTCCTTTGTGAGTTCTCTGATGGACAATGAGGTTTCTCTTATAACTGAAGGATTTACCACACTCATTACAAACATAGGGTTTCTCCCCTGTGTGAGTTCTCTGATGTACAATGAGATTTGTCTTCTGGCGGAAGCACTTCCCACATTCATTACATTTGTACGGTTTCTCTCCGGTATGAGTTCTTTGATGATGAATGAGATATGACTTCCTGCTAAAGGCTTTTCCACACTGAGAACACTCATAGGATTTCTGACCTGTATGTATTTTCTGATGTACACTGAGGGTTGCTTTCTGGCGAAAGGACTTCCCACATTCATTACAAATATAGGGTTTTTCCCCTGTATGAATTCTCTGATGTAGATTGAGGTTTGTCTTTTGACTGAAGGATTTTCCACATTCATTACATTCATATGGTTTCTCTCCTGTGTGAATTCTGTGATGATCAATGAGATACGACTTCATTCTAAAGGCCTTCCCACAGTGAGGACATTCATAAGATTTTTCCCCAGTATGTGTTCTCTGATGTGCTATGAGGGTTGTCTTCTGGCGGAAAGACTTACCACATTCATTACAAATATAGGGTTTCTCCTTATTATGAGTTTTCTCATGAAGAGCAAGGGTTGTCTTCTGGGAGAAGGACTTCCCACATTCATTACAAATATAGGGCTTTTCCCCTGTGTGAGTTCTCTGATGTACAGTAAGATTTGCCTTCTGGTGAAAGGACTTCCCACATTCTATACAAATATAGGGCTTTTCTCCTGTATGAATTCTCTGATGTAGAGAGAGTGTTGTCTTCTGGCGGAAAGACTTTCCACAGTCATTACACTCATATGGTTTCTCTCCTGTATGAGTTCTCTGATGACGAATGAGGTGTGACTTCAACCTGAAGGCATTCCTACATTGTGAACATTCATATGATTTCTCCCCTGTATGTGTTCTCTGATGATCAGTGAGAGCTGTTTTTAGGCGGAACGACTTACCACATTCATTACAAATAAAGGGTTTCTCTCCTGTGTGAGTTCTTTGATGATCAATGAGATATGATTTCCTTCTAAATGAGTTTCCACATTGATGGCATTGATAAGGTTTTTCCTCTGTGTGAATTCCCTGATGCAGAATCAATACTGACTTTCTGCAGAAGGACTTCCCACATTCAGTGCATATATGTTTTTTTTCAATATTGGTTGCTCTTCTCCTTTTATTATGTTCAGATGGATTTTCATTTCTGTAAGCTCTATGATGTGTAAGTAAACCTCCCTTTTTAAGCAATAATTTTTCACAGTCACTATATTCAAATGACTGTACTGGAGTTTCCATCTTATGATATTGCACCAGCACTTCATTATGATTGATATCTTTACCATGTTGATTATGGGATTTGACTCCATGGTGAGCTGTCTCTGGTTTACTATTGAAGAGTGATTTCTCATATCCATTATACTCATTATGACTCTTTCTTGCAGGAATTAGATTACTTATGATTAATTCTGATACATTTTTAAAAATCTTTCCATGACTGTTATATTCAGGAATTAGATTTTTTGAATATATAGGGTTTTTGCTTAAAGGAAATGTCCTGTCATATGCATTACTGTTCTTCTTAATCAGTTTTTTGTGACTGATGAGTACAACTGATCTAGAATACTTATCTTCACATTCCTTAAATTTCACTAAAACATCTTCGGCACTCCAGTTTTGTTCTAGAAAAAAATTTAACAACTTGTGACTCTTCACACATTTTTTATGAAAAGGACTTGAATTAGGGTCTATTATATGAGGCCAAACAAGACCTCAGACAAATTACTCCCCTCCTGGGACACAGAAGCTAAATAAAAACCTCTGTTTCAGTGTGGAAAAGAATAAAAAAATAAGAAATGAATGCTAATAACTTTCCCATTTTGCAACAGAAATTCATACATAAAGTTGACTGAACACAAGAAGCAGTGAAGAGAAGACAAAAATGGAGGAAGAGGGACTGATGCTTAAATAGGCAGATTCAGAGGCAATGAAGTGAACCTATCAAGGGTATTAATCTTTAAATAGGATGGACAAGATTAATAGAAAAGCTTATTCAGAGAAAATATTAGAGGAAGGATTACTTCTGGAGGACACAGAACAGAGCCTATATTTTTCTATATTATCTCTAGATTGCAAAGTAAAACCTTCCAGTTGTTCTAACATCCCCATCCTTGTAGTCATCAATGGTAAATTAATAATTCCAAGCACCAATTAATTTGCCAGTGTTTAGAAAAACTATCCCATATTGTAGGTCTAATCCTCTATATAGCTAAGAGTAATTTTCTCTTGTGACAAAAAACTAGAAAAACACAACAGGAAATTTAAAACAGACTAGGGTTATATTTACTGGTATATTCAGATTGCTGTTACTACCAATTTTTTCAGAATTATTCAATTAAAAAACTCTCATGACCATCAATTATAACTATTCCTCTTTTCAATTGCTGACTTATTTTTTCAGGTTTAAAGAAAGACTATTCAAGTCCTTTCCCAATACAGTAACATTCCGTTAACTCCAGATGAGATTGCTCATTCTGGTTCTAGATCATTCCTTAACTTTAACTTTCACTTCTCTTATAAGTTTAGAGCTATATTTGACTTTTATCACTTTATACTCATCCAAATATGGTAGAACAATGTTAAATCTAGGCTCCAAAATCTTTTTCTGCCTTGAGTCCATTACCACCAACACTAACATATATGGAATTTATCCTGTAAACAAGACTTTACATTCCCTAGACTCACTCTTCATATTTTAACAAGTGTTAAGGATTGTTCCCATATTTGACAAATCTCAGCCATAAAAAGTTTACATTAATACTGTGTATCACAGGTGGTGTGCTTGATAGAAACCAAATGCTTCATTCAGAATGTATACAGCCATAGGCTATACAGGTATATCTAACAAGAACGTATAAGTACATGTTTTTTGACTGAGGGAAACAGAAATTTCTCCTGTATAGCTCCACAAACAGGTCATGGAATTACGAAATACCTAAATAAGTTTTATACTACCACAAAGACAGAAACAGGGGATCTTATCTTTGACAGAAAGAATCCTTAAGCATAAACCATGTATAATCAGGTATTACATTATATAATCATATCCAAATACTGTGTATGTTATAATTCAAAAGTAGCAAGTAAATTCACAGAAAAAGAAAACTATGGATATGATGTGGAGTAATAAAGGAATAGTTCATGGAGAAGACAGCTCAAGACTGAACCATAAAATATACATTTTGTGGAAGGGAAAACACAACATAATGAAAAGTACAGATATGACAAATCCTACATATTTAGAGAAAAGTTAGTATATTGGATTAAGTGGAAATTACCAAGAGTTTCCCACAGGAGAGAGAAATAAAGCTGAAAATACCAGATTAGGGCTTATTATGTTAGACCTTGAATTATGAAGAATTTCAATTTCATATAAAAAATAAATAACAGGTAACAAGTAACATATCTTGTCAGAGAAGTAACAATATAATTTTAATGAACTAGGAAAAATTACAGTGAAGACCAACTGCAAATACAATAATCAAGACAGAAAATAAGATAGTTATTCTGTATAATGTCAGTGACAAATGTAAATACGGGAGAAGTAAATATATTTCAGAGGCTGATACACATACATAAATTGTAAAGAGCTAATACAGAGAACTAATACATAAGAACTAATGGCAGAGATAGAAGAATCAAGCTGGTATCAGATAGGAAAAATAAGTTAGAAACAGATGAGGGAAAAGAATTTAAGAGCTAGAAAAGTTAAGTGATTTTTATGTCCAACATATGCCACAAAATAGGTAAGACATTATATTGTAAAACCGCTAAAGGACTAGGGTGAATGTGGGAGAAATAAGCTGAGCATGTCCTTTCAGAGGCATTGACAAAAAACAAAGAACTCAAGTCCTGAGAATAAATACAATTATTATTACACAAACTTCTGGTCAAGTTGGAGGTAGATATGTTTCACCTCCTTGCTCAACCATAGAAAGAATTACAACCAGATCTAAAACTATTAACACCCAGGACTGTCAGAAAATTAAGCTGTATGGAAGTCCAAAAACCAAAGATTTAAAGAAAACACATTTAGCCACATGGGTAGCAGGGACAGAGTCACAGAGAAGGGCAGAGTACAGCAGAAAGGCAAAGGTGGCAGTGGAAAGGACAATGGATGAAAGGGATACCTTGGAAGCAAGTGATCCCAGCCTCACACATAGGGTTCCGGCACCAGGAAGATGGATCCCTGTTAGCTCTGGTGTTAAAAACTAGTGGGTTTGGGGTGGCTGAAGAAACAACTGGATTTTTGCTGATTCAAGGGCCAGTATGGTCCTAGAATGTGTGCAAACCTATCTTCTCAGGGACTCCCACCTGGGCAGCAGCTGGAAGGGTACCAGTAATACATGGGAAGGGAGTGAAGTGACTGGAAGCAGGGCGAGTACCAGACAAACTGCCATAAGCCAGGAGGCAGCACTGTCTCCTCTCTGAGCCCTCTCCCACACAGCCACAAAGGGGTGAAGTGGGTTGTCCTGCCCTGGCAATTACCTAAGGCTTTGCCCCATACAATTTACAGGGGCCTTTTCTATGTATGCTATGCTACTAAGACATGAAGTAAAAGCAGCTTTACCTAGTACACAGAAACAAACACAGGGAGCCTGCCAAATTGAGGAGACAAAGAAATATGAAAGAACATAACAAAACCCCAGAAAAAGAACTAAGCAAAACAGAGATAGCTAACCTATCAGATACAGAATTCAAAACACTGGTTATCAAGATGCTCAGAGAACACCTTGAGTAGGGCAAAAAAATAAAGGAAGAAATGAAGTTTACACTAAATGAAATAAATAACAATCCACAGGAAACCAACAGAGAATGAGAAGGGAGCCAGGATTCAAACCAACAATTTGGAATATAAGGAAGAGGTAATCATTCAATCAGAACAAAAAGAAACAAGAATTTAAAAAATGAGGATAGGCTTAGGAAATCTCCAAATGTGCCAACATCTGAATCGTAAGGATGCCAGAAGGAGAAGAAGAAGATCAAGAAGTTGAAAACTTATCTGAAAAAATAATGACAGAAAAATTCCCTAATTTGGTGAAGGAAATGAACATACAGGTCCAGGAAGCACAGAGTTCCAAACATGTTGGACCCCCAGAGGACCACATCAATACATATCATAATTAAAATACCAAAGGTTAAAGATCAAGAGCGCATCTTAAAAGCAGCAAGAGAAAAAGCTGAGAATTACCCACAAAGGCATTCCCATATGACTATCAGCTAATTTCTCAAAAGAAACTTTGCAGACAAGAAGGGACTGACAGGAAATATTCAAAGTGATGAAAAACAAGTACCTATAACCTATATTACTCTATCCAGCAAAGCTATCATTTAGAATGGAAGGACAGATAAAGTGTTTCCCAGACAAGGTAAAGCTAAAGGAGCTCATCATCACCAAGCCATTATTACAGGAAATGTTAAAGGGACTTATTTAAGAAAAAAAAGAAGATCAAAACTATGAACATCAAAATGGCAACAAATTCCCAAGTATCAAAAACTGAATCAAAAAAAGCAAACTAAGCAAATAATCAGAACAGGAACAGAATCAAAGATATGGAGATCACTTGGAGGGTTATCAGCTGAGAGGGGGAAAGGGGAGATTGGGGGTAAATGTGCAGGCATTGAGAAGCATAATTGGTAGGTACAAAATAGGGAGATGTTAAGAATAGTACAGGAAATGGTGAAGACAAAGAACTTACATGCATGACCCATAGACATGAACTAAGGAGGTAAGAATGCTGGAGGGAAGAGGGGTACCAGGCAGAGGGGAGCAAAGATGAAAAAACTGGGAAAATTGTAATAGCATAATAAATAAAGTATATTTAAAAAAACAACCACCAAGGATTGACTTAGAGAATGGTGATCAACCATATAAAATGAACCACAAGCCCTGCCTGAGTGGCTCAGTTGGTTGGAGCATCATGCTGTACAAGAAAAGGTTGTACATTCTATCCCAGGTCAGGGCATGTACCTAGGTTGTAGGTTTGATCCCCAATTATGGTTCATATGGGAGGCAGCTTATTGATGTTTCTCTCTCACATTAATGTTTCCCTTTCTCTCTCTGTGCCTTTCTCTCTCTCCCCCTTCCTTTCCCTCTAAAATCAATAAACATATCCTCAGGTGAGATTAAATAAATAAATAAATAAATAGAACAGCAAAGTTTAACAGAAGAAAATGCTAACTATGGAATTATCAGTATGGGACAAGCATGGAGTTTTAAAATTAATAGCCAGGTTTATGGTGAGAATGGGAACATAGACTTAGCACAAAAAATAAGTCTGAGGTAAGAAAGGGAAAAAGTGGAAAGCAACTAAAAAGAAAAGCATTAATCAAGAATTTTCAATTTCTTAAAGACTGTTTTAAGAATTCCTAAGAGAAATCTGTACAATGGCAGTGAGAGAAGGGAAAGAGAATGCTAGAAAAAGACAAAAAAAAGACCTAAAAGAAGGAAGGCTCATGATACATTTTGATTAAGTCAAGAGTGGCAACTATCTTTGGTAACATCAAACAAACTAGGGAAAAATAAGAAATAGAAGAGTGATATTAGAAAGTTTGCTTCAAGTTTGCAGGCATAATGATGATTTCAAAAGTTAAGACCCTTTAAAAAAACATTCCCAAAATATTTCAAAGTTGCCATCAACCTTATAACCACTTATAAATGTATTTTTCACTAGTTTCATCTGCCTTAGAATCAGAAACTCACCTAAGCAGGTGTGACTTGTCAGTGGTGTCCATGGCTCTTCTCCTCGTTCCAACTTAAGAATCACATCAGGCTTGGTCATGTGACAGCCTGATAAGGGAAGATTTGGGTTAAGTTGCTTAGGGTTCAATATACTTGAAAACTAGTAAGGTGTATTTTCAATACTGCAAATTAAGATACACTTTTGCTTAACAGTAAACTTAACACCTTGCACTAGGCAAGTGAAAGATAATTTATTTCTGCTAACCAAAAAGTATTCATCACCTCTTATCCCTGAAATTGAAGATCACACATACTTTAAGCACTATGAAAGAAAATATGTGCTACTAAGTTTCAGAGAGGTTTTCTTACCCACAGAAATGAGGTGGCAATAGTTTTCCAACATCACATCCATGTATAGAGTCTTCTGAGCAGGATCCAGGTGCTGCCATTCCTCCTGTGTGAAATCCACAGTCACATCTTTAAATGTTACTGACCCCTGCAATGGATAGAAACTATGATTACAACAAGTTGACTAGATATTCAGGACTAGTTTTAATCCTGTTTCTTTGGTATTTGGAAGAAAATTTGTAAAGAAAGGCTAACATTTTTCTTGTTTTGTGATTTACATTGTGAAGAAAACAAAAATCAAAGTACAAGTAACTGCCACCAAATTTATTTAATAACTCATTCTAAAACTATTTACTGTGAATTCACTTTGTACCCCCAAACTGCCTTCATTCTCTTGGATGCCAAGACAAAATACCATCCCTGCTTTCAAGAAGTTACAGCCTCAAAGCATATAACACATACTTTCAAGAAGGTATATGTAAACAGAAACATACAAAAAGGTATTACAGGTAGTACAACAGAAGAATATAAAAGATGCTGTGTATCACAACAGCAGCACAGTTTTCTTAGTGTTCACCAAGGAGATGAATTTTTTCCCTTCAATATTACTGTGATGTGTAAGAAGAGTATGATTTTAAAATACATGAGAATGACTTTTGGCATCCAGTGATTAAAATGTGATTTGGCCAGGAACACAATCCCTCAGATAATAATGATAAAATGTGAACACAATATATCATAACTAATGAATAGATGGCATTGAAAAATAACCAAAACAGGCAGAAATATGCTCAAAAAACAGCAAATGCAATGGGTAAAACTTAAATTTGTGGCATTTTTTCATGAAGTACTGTACCCCAAATCCCACAGCTCTTAATAAGGCAGTAAACCACAGCACCCTTCCTCAAACATGGTACAGAACAGAACTGAAAGGCAGATGAGCTGGATATTTAGGGATAAATTCTGAAAGTCAGAGAAGTATATAACAAATGAGACCTAAAACCTGAGCATAAACTCTACCAGAGCTCACACTGAGAGTTAAACTGAGTCAACCTGAGTTAAATTTCAGGTTGAAAGTCAAACTGAACAATTGTTGGAGAGATCACAGAGGGCTTAGGAAAAAGCAGACAGAAAGACACCAAAAAAGAGTTTTGAAAAACAGAAGCACACTCAGTGAGATTGAAATTTCTGCTTTGTTGATTATCAGCATTCTACAACACACTGATAGTTCAAGCAGTAAAAAACTGAAGCTGTACAGATTCAGCTGTCAGAAATGGGGGCTGACAAAACAGCGGGATAGTATAAAGGGTAAACCCTGAAAAAAAAACTGTAGAATGTAAGACCCAAAATCTATGTATATAAGCACTCACCAATTCCTTGCTTGAGATCTAAAGAACATGAGCAAAAGAACTTACCTACCCTCAGAGGGCCAGGGTAAAAAGCAGCAGCTGGAAGCTTAAGGATATATCAGCTGCTTCATATTTGAGGGGGCAGGTGATGGGGTAAGCAGTAGGGCAGAATAACTTGATTCTAAATAAGCTAACCACCTGCTAGGGGGAAAAATCCCAATAATTCATAGAACAATAATATATCAGACTTTGAATTACTATAACATATTATTTATGGCATCCAAGTTCCTAGTAAAAATTACTGGACATGCAAAGAAAACAACAAACAAAAACAAAGGTGGATATGAACAATATTCAGAAAAATACAGTCATAGTAACTAATTAGTAGGTCCTAATGTTGGATTTTGCCCCACAAAACTTCAAAGCATCTGTTCTAAATGTCTCAAAGAAGTAATGGAAAATCTGGCATGAAGTACCAGTATGTAAACTATAAGAAAGTACCAAATGAAATTTCTAGAGCTAAAGGTACGATGACTGATATGAAAAATTCACTATATAAACTCAATAACACCTAAAACAAAACCAAAAGAAACTACGCAAATAACTAGAACAGGAACAGAACCACAGAAAGGGAGATCACATGGAGGGTTAGAAACAGGGGAGTGGGAGGAGGAGAGAATAGGAAAAGGTACAGAAAATAAGTAACATAGATGGTAGGTAGAAAATAGGGGGAGGGCAAGAATAGTATGGGAAATGTAGAAGCTAAAGAACTTATGACACATGTACATGAACTAAAGGGGGGGAATGTGGGTGGGACAGGGTGTACAGGGTGGAGGGGAGTGAAGGGGGAAAATGGGACAACTGTAATAGCATAATCAATAAAATATATTTAAAAAATAACAGATCAGAAATATAAAAAAGAATCAGCAACCTGTAAACAGATCAACAGAAATTAAGCAATCTGAATAGAAAGAAGAATAAGGGAAAATGAATAAAATCATGGAGATCTGTGGGTCAATTTCAAAATAATCCAATGTAGATATAATTATCTACTGTCCCAGAAAGAGAAAGAAAGTTTGAAAAAAAATTAAGGTAATAATGGCTTAACACAGTGAGTTACCAAAAACTTTTAACTTACATACCAAAAAGCTTAATGAACCTCAAAAGAATAAAAAATGAAGAAATCACACCTCATTTAATCCTAATCAAACTTCTAAAAGTCAAAGATAACTTCAAGTATTATATTTTCAGCAAAATTATCTATTAAAAATAAAGGCAACTGTTTTCAGATAAAATCTGAAAGAATTAATCACTAGCAATATTGAAACAACAAAAATGGTAAAGGAAGTTCTTCAGGTTGAAGGTAAAAATGTCACCCAATGATAACTAAGATCTTTAGGATGGAATGAAGAGGATGAGAAAAGTTATATATAAAATACTATAAATATTCCTTTCCTTCTTTCTTTAAAACACATGACTATGTCAAGCAGGTGTTGGTGAACATTTTCTGCTGCTTTAGCATGAAAGCAACCACAACAGTGTGTAAAATGTATGAGCAAAATTGTGTTTCAATGAAACTTTATGAATGGACACTGACATTTGAATTTTCTTAGATCAGAAATATTTTGCTTTTGCATTTATCAAACAATTATAAAAACCATTCCTAATTTACAGTCTGCACAAAAGCAGGCATCAGTTTGGATTTGGCCTGTGGGCTGTAGGATATTGTTTTAAAGTAAGCATTCTAAACCCAATTATTTACAAACGTAAATATCCCATACATGGAAACAAAACCCCAAACAAAACCCCCCAAAAAACAAAAGTTGGGAAGGTAAGTAAACAGATCAATAATGTTGTAAGATTTATGTATTTTCCATAGTTCATTATTATCTCTAAGTAAATCATAAGTTAAAGATGCATGTTGCAATCCCCTGAAGCAACCACAAAATAATAATACAAATAGAGATAACTATAATGTCAATAAGGTAATGAAAATATATTATTAAAATGTATCTGATTGACACAAAATAAAACACAATTAGGAAGAGTTGAACAAAAACAGGTTAGGAGGAACCTTAATGAATATTACAAAGTGTAAGACACCAGTCTGAAAAGGTTACATACTTTATAATTGCAGTTACTATAAAAGATTCTGGAAGAGGCAAAATTAAGAAGACCATAAAAAGATTAGAGGATGCCAGAAATTAGGGGAGAGGAAGGGATGAATAGGTATAGCACAAAGGTTTTTAGGGCAGTGAAACTATTCTGTATGATACTACAATGTGGATACATGTTATTATACATTTCTCAAAATCTGCAGAACATACACCACCAAGAATGAACACTGATATAAACTATGAACTTTGGGGGATAATGATGTGTCAGGGATGGTTCCTTTACTGTAACAAATGTACCACTCTGATGTAAGATGTTGATAGTGGGGGAGGCTATGCATGTATGTGGGGGGCAGAGGGTAAATTGAGACTCTCTGTACTTTCTACTCAATTGTGCTGTGGATCTCAAACTGCCCTCTAATATAAAATCTATATTAATAGATTAACAAAAAAAGGAAAAACAACAACAAACCCAACAGGTTAGGCAAATAAAAAGAAACAGCAAAATGGTAGCCCTAAATTCAACTATATGTTCAATTATATTAAGTGTAAACAGACTAAACATTCCAATAAATAGGCCAAGATTATTGGACTGTATAAAAAAGCAACTCAAATATGTTTTGTCTGAAAGAAACATACATTAAATAACACAAATATAAAGTAAAACAAATAGTAAAAACATATAGATACTACACATGGTAAAGTTGATTTTGGCTATAGTAAAAGCAAAAAACATTTCAAATTGAAGTATATCACTACTTCAAAGAAGAACATTTTATAATGATAAAAGAGTAAATATATTACAAAAATATAACAATTACAAATGTATACATACTTGAACAGTTTCAAAATACATGAAGTAAAAATTGGCAAAAGTAAAATGAGACTTTAAAAAGTCCCAAATCATGGTTGATGTTAATGTTTGTCAGTAACTGAAGGAGGTAGACCAAAGTTGGTTGGGGCAGTATGGAGATTTATAAAGATGTAGAATCTCAAAGAATACTAACAAATAACTAACTCACATGATAGTCATAGAACACCAATTTCAATAATTTCCCAACACATTTTTTCAAAGAGAAAATAGACTATGCATAGATAAATCATATGGAGCATATTTTCTGACCACAACTGAATTAAATTAGGTATCAGTAAAAATAATGTATCTAGACAAGCCCTCAATATTTGGAAATTAAACAATACACTTCAAAGTAACCAATTCTGGGTCAAAGAATAATGAAAATGAAAATGTTCATAACATATATTAAACTAAACAATAACAGATCAATATTCAAAGATGCAATTAAAGTAGGCTAAGAAAAACCTGTAAGTTTCAATGCTTATATTAGAACATAAGATAGATGTAATGTCAATAATTCAAAACTTTATTTTAGAAAAAGTCAAATTAAACACAAAGCGAGAAGAAAATAGTAAAGATAATGGCAAAAATCAGGAAAATAGAAGTAAATCAATGAAACACAAAGCCAAATTCTTGAAAGTATCTGTAAAATTAAAAAAACGTTAGTTGGGTGGATTACACAATAAAGAGTGATGTCACATATGGCCAGTATCAGATAATATCCTACAGATATTAAATAGGTACAAGGGTAGATTAAAAACTAATTAAAAGCAATAAATTAGACAATGTAGATGAAAGGATAAATATTTTCCCTTAAGAAACATGTTAC